GAGAGAGAGAGAGAGAGAGAGAGAGAGAGACTATTGGCGACAGACTGATATCAGATGGGGATAGGCGTTTTGTTAGTTTCTTCGTCTGTTTACGGGGTGCCCACTACGGATGGGATAGGCCGATCACGTTGTTTTTGAGGTGATCGAGTCGGGTGATTGACCCGATCGGCCGATCCCAGCCGAAGTGGGCACCCCGTTTTAGATTTTTATTTATTTGAGGGGAAGAAGAAAAGGGACCACCCCCTGGAGATCATCCAGCTAACACAGCAGAATGTCAGGTGAAATTGTGTCTACTATTTGTCCGCAATGTTGGGATCATCGCAGGCGGTACATACATGTCCATAGCTGGTCTCTATTCTCCACAGGATCCACCTTAAATAACCATATCCGTACGCCATGGGGTCATTTTGTACCCGCACAGAGTTCCCCACATGGTGTGGATACGAAAGTAAAACACGATGTACGGATAGGGTTAAAGTTGAAGTTTTAAAATAAAGACCCTAGTCAATAGTTGTGGTTTATCACACCTTTTATCACTAAACAATTTGTTGATGATGGGGAAAAGTCTTGTCACCTCAGGGAAACAGCTGGTAACACCACCAAATAATAAGTAATTAGTAGGCCTACATGTACACGTAGTAGTACAGGTGATAAGGAATATTTTTAAAAATATTTGACGAGGTGCAAACTGGTCTAGCAATAACGGCCTGTAACCCGTATGAGCTGCCTCGATCTGGATATATCAAGATCTACTTTCACGAATGTTGACATTCCAGAATAATGGCAGTTCAGATCACAGTAATGATATATACGAAAAAAAGGAAGTGTGTACAGAAATGAAATATATTGTACAAAAAAACCAAACACATATTATAAGCCTTTAAAGGAGAACAAAGGAAACACATACCAAGAACGGAGCCTACAATACATGACCAAATCTGTATCAATAGGGCCGTAAAACTTATGAACAAACTCGATCAATCAAATGCACATCAAGAAAGAAGAAATTCGAACTAATTTGTTCCGTTTAGGAGTTCTTTTTTTTGGTTCAAGGATACCCATTACAAGTTGAGCCCCCACATTTCTAAATTAACCAAATTAGTACATTTATTGTACTGCATATATATGGGTACGACTAGATATCTAATTATCTAAGTTGCTATGATCTGTAGCCAGATTCTGTTTAATGATCGTTCAAGTTCATATATTTCTAACGTTTGGTGCTGTTTTGGTTATAATAGTCGTCGCCTCGTCTCTCTTAATCCTACACATGATGTTCAGTAGGAGATAAATCATTAGTTTAAAAAGAATATAATTTAGTTTGCTATTTTGTGGCACTTGCAACACCCCAAAAAGTCCCAATTCGGCTCAATATTAATTATGGATTTTGAGTTGTAGTCATTTTTAGCTTCTGCAGCCTCCCTTACAACTAACTATTTCATAGAATAAGAACCCCCTAAAGTTTTATTTCTTCTCATACTCATACCGGGCATGTTTGTCCCCATCATTTCCGCATAAAGTCAATCTTATATTTTTCTTTATGTAGCCCGTTACCCAAAACGCGGTTTAATATACTTTTTACAATAACTTCACCATTTTTTTTCCAATCTTCATGAAATTTTCACAGAATGAAGAGAAGATGTAATGCTAAAAATATGAAAGTTGGATTCATGATATAATGAAACACTTTTTTGTTGATGGTGTCTGGAAAGTGGATTTTCAAGGATTTTTTGCAAACTTGAATACGACCTCAGGAAAAATTTCATTAAAATTTTTCTTATCCATTTAGTAAAAATTCTATAGAGACAAATTTGTAGATCTAATGTTTGTTGACATGCATGAAAAAAACCAATCTATTTCCAAGAAAGATAAGTGCAGTATCCATTACGTAACACATGTCAATAAGATCCAATATGGCCGCGTAGCCATGGAAACGAAACATTTTTCTCAAATTTGATTGCAGATTTTCAGACTCCTTACTATGCTTGTTAGATCTACAA